CAGCTGTCGCATTTAGTACCGGTGCTTTAGCTTATTTTTATCTGTCGCAGTGGTAAGTGGATGAAAATTAGTTCATTTTGAGTTGAGGAACAGATTCGAGCGGAAGAAAATGCTTGGAATTCTTTTAAATCGAAAATGATTCAAACTTTCTGACTGGGGCTTCGATTTGAGACACTCCGAGCGTTGAATTCAGTCGAAAGTGATTTTAACTTGGAGCTTTTTTAATGGATTGTTTTGTTGGGGTTCGACCAGAGCGATTCCACGGCCTTTTCTTTTCGCAATCCGCGAAGCACACGCAGCTGCGCAAGTTGAAATCGATCCTGTCTCGGAAGGCATCCAGCAACCCTGCCACTCGCCAATTTTTTTTTTGGCAGTTTCGGATTGCATCCGCAAAATCCTAGGACTTCACCGAAGCTCGCTTCACTCTGTAACTCTTAAATGGAGCCTCGGATGCAAAACAACGAGAAACCAAGGTAAGATAGTCCCCCCAAAAACTGAAGCCAGCCATTAAAAAGCCAGCTGAAGGAAAAAAACCTCGAAAGTGCTGAAGCGGCCCGAAGGCGCTCCAAAGCAGGCGACCACTCGGCCAGGCACTCGTTGCACGCGAGGAACCTCCATCCTCAAAACCAGGAAGCCTCCCGCACCCGGTCGAAGAGCCGACCTCCCTCCGAAAGGATGTCAAGAAAGGAAGTTTTTAGCAAGCAGTAAGGAAGCGGTAATTAAAGTGCTGGATTTAGATTAAAAAATTGGTTCCACAGGCACTCGTTGCACGCGAGGAACCTCCTTCAAATTGGTTCCAATCGGCTTTTCGAGCGCGAAATTCGTTCATGTTAAGAAAACCTTTTCGGAACGGGTTCGAACTTCCAGAAAATGAATGCCCGGTGCCCGAAGGACGGACAAAGCGGAAAAAATTCACCCTCGGCTTCTCCCAGGCAAAAATCGTCGATCATATTGGCGGAAGCGGCGGAGGCAAATAGCGGGAAGTCGTCGCAACTCCATTTACGTCATGCTTTTGCAAGGGATGTCACTAAATCCTCGCGACTGCAGCAATGAAGCTAAGCGACGAGAGACCGACAGGCTGCACAGGACCAAAAGTGATCTTCATCTTTTCGATGAGGACTACTGATGATCATCACATGGTTTGCTATGGACCACTCTGTGCAAATTTTGATGCCAAAAACAGCCTCCATCGACGGTTCGATTCGGCATCGTGTTGCTTCGAGGATTATGCAACAGATTCGTTTTCCGTTGCGGCCGCTCTATTTTCACGATATTATTATTTAATTATTTATTTATTGAAAATCCATGCAGTTGAAGCTTTTCTTGAGTTTCGAGCGACGCGTCGTTCACGGCAAGAGCGGTCCGACGCGAATTCCAGCCTGCAAATTCTGGAATTCTGCACGGATCATTTTTGCACGGCACCTATTAATAAAATCGAGAAATACAGACTGACCGAGAAGAAATATGAGGAAAATTCAAGCGAAATGGGAAAATTTTAAATTACAGTAACATGGACTGATTTAGAATCACTTCATAGTTTTCAATGTAATGAAATTTAAATATATTGAAATTGATCTCCTTGGCAAGGTTTAGACCCATGAAGACATCGACTGATCGAATTATTTAAGAGGGGTGACACGGGGTGGGGGGGGGGGAGGGGGGAACCTGGCAGTCTTCCAGGATGATTCTCCGTATACTTCAGCGTTGGCCATCTTCTCAGGCACGAAAGTGAGCGGAGTGCGTCCAGAAGCGGTAATCCCGGCCCAGGCCATTACAAAAGACGCCCATGACGCCGAGAGACTTAAAAGAAATCAAATTTAGATTTTCCAATTTCGTCAAACATGGAGTCCAAAGTGTGAAGCTTTTCATCCATGCCAAGGGCAGGGTATATTGAAACCGATGAAGTGATTCTAAATCAGTTATCTGTCCTTATCGAATTTTTTTTCCTCAGGTCAAAGCCATACTGCGATGGGACACAACTTGCTTTAGCACCAAGTAAAAGCAACCCAAACCGAAGACCGATCTCAGAGGAAATACATTAGTGCACCGACAATAACTTTATTTGGAAGGCAAAAGTGCGATTCATGTGGTCCAGAGTTTCAATATGTGTGATCGTTTGGAAAAAAGTGAGAGAAGGAAAAGAGAAAGGTAAGTAAACAATGAGGATACATGGAATCAGTTTTTCGACGATGCAGGAATAGTGTGGATTCAAATTCCACCTCGAAGACGCAGAACCAAGTGAAGCGTAGACTCCTTCTGGATGTTGTAGTCTGAGAGGGTTCGACCATCTTCCAGCTGCTTGCCGGCAAAGATCAAGCGTTGCTGGTCGGGTGGAATACCTTCCTTGTCTTGGATCTTAGCCTTGACGTTCTCGATGGTGTCAGATGGCTCAACCTCAAGGGTGATGGTCTTCCCTGTCAAGGTCTTGACAAAGATCTGCATCCCACCACGCAGACGCAGGACCAAGTGAAGCGTAGACTCCTTCTGGATGTTGTAGTCTGAAAGGGTTCGACCATCTTCCAGCTGCTTGCCGGCAAAGATCAAGCGTTGCTGGTCGGGTGGAATACCTTCCTTGTCCTGGATCTTAGCCTTGACGTTCTCGATGGTGTCAGATGGCTCAACCTCAAGGGTGATGGTCTTCCCTGTCAAGGTCTTGACAAAGATCTGCATCCTGATTATTCAGTAGCCCTGAAATGGAAAAATGGGACAATTAACTTACAACCAGAAAACTATTAAGATTAAATGAAAGTGAACAACTATCTATTCTGTGTGATTCATGAGAGCTCGAGAATTCCATGCTTTAATTGTCCAGTGTTTTCTCTGAAATTAGAGAGCCTGAGGTTAAGATGAACTCAAAATGAAAGATGAAATATTAGTCATAGAGAGTCAGGCTCCCAAATGATTTAATCAGTCTTGGTTGGTAATCACAGTCAATAATGATGCATCTGTAAGGACAAAAGTAGTTGCTCTCTGCCTCTTTTTGGTATAACAGCCCCAATCTCCAACACTCATGTGAGTGTTCCTCCTAATGCTCTTGCACGATGCAGGCCATACTGCGTTAGCCCAACTCACAATCTTCATACCTTATTGCCAAAATTTCAACCTTATTCATATCTTGGCTATCTAAGGAAGAACAAACACCAACTTAATCTTGTCATTGAATTTAGTCGGATAACTGACAAATCTCGTGAGCTTTCTGTCCACTATGAAACTCTTCTCAAGGACAAGTACAAGGATCTAGTTTTACAGGCATACAAAATGTTATAGTATACTTTAGGGGTAGGGCCCCTGGACATCTGTTCATCCCAATTTCTTGCAAGAGGGAATTGGAAAATTTAGATATGAAAGAAATGTATGAGTTTCTAGGGATTATTAAGGTCCAGCCAAAAAAATCAGAGAGTAGCTAATGCTGGATTATGCTTCTTGAAATCATCATTGCCAACAGCAACTCCAAGTAAAACTCAGTGACAATCATTGTGAAAATCCTTTCCTTCCTACTCAAAGGAACTGCCTGCCCCAAAATGGGAACAGACAAAGGAAAAGAGGCCAGCGGGTCGTGCCGTCTGAAGTGAAAGGAAGGCCTAGGCCGATCCTTTCATTACCTCGAGTCCAGAAAAAAAAAATTTCATAACTATCTACTTTCAACCCAAGGCTCGTTTATATCCCTTCTGCGAGTATATCGAAGGCCTACCGCTTCGAATTACTCGAACGGAGCAGTAACGTCAACGGGGCAAATCCAAATGTATTTATAGAAAGGAGGAAAAGAAATCCACTCGGTTTACTTTCAAGATGTCGAACAAAGGCCTAGCCTAAAAACACCCCCTACCCACCTGGATATATCCGTATGAATCCCGGTACGATATCGACGTAAAGCCTAGCAAGGCGATGCAACAATCGACGCTTCGAGGAGTCGAAGAACAATGGAAGAATCCGTCTCAGGAAACACGAACGACACGAGAGCAGATGCGGAGTAGACGCTTCGAGATGGCGAACGGAGGCAGCTGAAGCCAATAGCGCGTGACGTCACCGTGACGTCACTGCGCAGGCGGGCTTGGGAAAATCCATCGTGATCTGCGTCGCGATGGTGTTGCCGAAGGAACGGGATTCTATTCCATATCGGAATTGGATTACTATTATTTCCTCCCTTTACAATTTGGCGTGATATCCAAAATTAGCTTCGGTTGAGTTGGGAAACCAGGCGACAGTTGCCTGCGGATTTTGCTTCCTCCTGAGACACGTCTAATCGGGGTTATAGGACTTGAGAGTAATTCTGAGAAACGACTCTTAAATACGGTGCAAAACAGAACAGATTTTTTATTTCCAAAAATGCTTCACATCTCTCCTGCATCTACCTTTTCCAGCAATTCACGCCCGTTAACAAAGGTCCTGGTAGAGGTATGAAATTGGAAATCAGCTCTGTCTTGCCAAATAAAAGTTTGCACGGGGGAAATACGGCAGTCTAATCGCGAGTGAAGGTGACTGGCTTTCATTCGGGATGAAACCGCGCGAGCCACGTGGGGATGGCGCGAGGGCGGTGGCGTGATCCCCGCGCGGCTGCGCCTTGTGGCATTCTGTGGAGGTTCATCGCGAGTGAAGCGGTGAGTGGGAGGGCGATGGGAAGGTCGGAGTTGCTGGCGGTGGCGGAGTTTCCTTTCGTATCGGTTTGGGGTGACGAGGCCAGTCCCGGTTTGAATTTTCCTTTCTGTTATGGGGATTTCGTCGTTTCCGCATTGTGAGGAATTACATTTGGGCATTTGAAAATGTCCGGTTTTTCCTGAAAAAAAGAATTTGGTCACTTTATTGAATGCGTAAGGGGCGCTTGAGTTCCCTTCATCACCCCTGGCTTCTGGCAACTCCTGTGCCCCCCAACACGTCATTTATCTGCATTTAGATGCACAAGATTTTAAAGGGGGGGCTCATAAAATCCTGTGTACTATACTGAAAAATTAAATAATATGTATCTTAAAGTGGAGTGTGATAGCAAATGTGAAAGATTATGTATTTGTGTTCTGCATATGTGGCAGTTTCACATGTTGTGAAGAAGCGCAAGTTCAGGGCGTCCAGTTCCGAACGAGTTGCGCCCAAGTACCTTCGACAGACGACAGCACTGCTGCTCCCGGTGCAACATGGTGGCCTACACGGGGACACGCGGGGGGCGCGATTTTGGGGATGTGAGCATGGAAAGGTCGGAGGACGAGTTCCAGCTGGTGCCTGATGGCGATTTGGAGGCTGAGGGGGATTCGCCGCATTTCACGCCGCCTTGGAGGCCCGAGTCCCCCATTCTTCCGAGAGTCATCAATATTCGATGGAAATGGGTTCATCGATTATGTGAGGCTTCTGCTTAGAAAAAAAAAAAAATGAGGCGTAGGCCTGGTGTTAGGCCATGTTACTGTAACTGTTACTGATAGGAACTAGGGCTGTTACGATAGCAGTTTTCAAAACATCGATGCATCGACCTGAACTATCGATAGTTTATCGATGCATCGGGGGAAGGGGGGGAGGATTCAATCTTTTCTCGTCGCGATTGGGCGGAGGTTTGTGACCTTCGCAAGGAGTAATGGAACCTACCATGCCTCCAATTAGAAGTTCCTCCGAAGAAGTTCGAAATTTTTCTTATTGCCGTTTCGAATCAGATACCAAGCCCATTCACGTAATTTTTATTTTTATTTTTCTTCGTTCTACGCAATCGTCTTTGGACATCAGTGGTATTATATGTATAAAATGCCTCAGGGCAAGTTAAAAATTGAACAAAGTTAAGCTTGCATACTGAAGAGAAATATAGGGAGGGGATTAACCAATGTACATTTTGAAACAGAGGGAGCATGAGAACAGTCCACCTTCGCTGCACCATAATTCGATTGTGACAAATTTCACGCCCTTGTGAGTCACGCCGCCTCTTCCTTTCCCCGCCCGGATGGACGGCCTCAATCCGATTGGTAAAAATAAAAATATTTTGCCGATATATCGCAACGGTAAAAAAAACCATAGATACCTCCACCCATCGATACAGGAATCGATGCATCGATCTATCGTAACAGCCCAGATAGAAACCGAAGGGCATGACGTGAGAAAAATTCAAATGTACCATTAGCTGTCGGCCCAAAGTAGCCTTTAAACGACGAGCGTCTAAATAATACATTTCCTTTGTAAAAGAAGCTAATCCATGTATGGATCAGGACCAAAGACAAATCTTTTGCATTTCCCTGAATGCAGCGACGGTCGTCCTGATCCTGATGTTCCTGGGGAAGATACCTCCGTCCGGTCCACGGAAGTGGGGATTCTATTGCAACGATCCTGCCATCAGCCACAAGTTCACCGGGGACACGATCACCCCGACCTGCCTCCTCTCTGTCACGTACTTTGGCATCTTGGCTTTGGTGAGCTTTAAATGGGCCTATGGTTGCATTGCTCTGGCCCATGTTGCTCGTCTGTGGTTAAATAAGATGCAGTCTGGTGGACAGATTCCCTTCAGTTTAATGAAGTTGAATTAACAATTTCAATAATGGGCCCTTAGGTTATGGTAAGTTTATGAAAAAATCAGTAACCCTCCCTCAGATATTTATTTTAATTTGGAAGTTGTGACTGTGTATTTACCTTTACCTTGAAATGACTATCATCCAGAATACGAAGTGGAATCATCATTTCATTTTGCTACCCTTGAGCTGCTTGTTTTTTTGTTTAGTGATTAAGTGATAGCTTTTTTTGAGTCAGCTTTGTTTATTTGCTCATTTGGTTCAACTTTAAGAATTAATGTGGTGTTTGTTTTCTGATCCCCATAAGCTTTTCCCATCTTATTTTTCCTCCCTGAGTAAAAGTTTCATTTTAATATATTGTGCTCATTCCTGAACATATGATGATTTTGATTGCCCTTGAGTAAACTTTGATCCCCGTTATTGAACGTGCATATTTTCACACATTCACCTGAACACAGCCAAAAAGAAAGTTTGTTTATCCCTTGAAGATGGATGGAGAAGCATGCGTCTCCCCGTCACCATTTCTCCCGTTCCCACTCCCCTTTCCTGATGAACTTCCTAACCCCTCATCCCGCCTTCATGCATTCCCTGAGGTGGTGGTTCTAGAGTATCTACTTTCGTGTTGCTTCCATGATGGCAGGCATTTGTGTTACCGTAACCCAACAAACAGGGCTTCAGATATTGCTTGAGCGGTGGGCCACAGTTTGAGTGCAGTAATGCTCAAAAATAATTATCTCTACCACATCTCCTTTGATGGTTCAGTGTCTTACCTCAATATGTCATGTAGATCCTGTTGCTGGAGTGCTTCAAACATGAAGGATCGGAGGAGTCAATCAAGGGAAGGATCAAGACAGGATTCTGGTTTTACAGCTCCTTTCTTGTTGGGAGCATGTACACCCTCTTTCTCACGGAAGTCCTCAAATCACTGATGGGAATGCCCCGTCCCCATTTCATGGACACTTGCCTGCCAGATCACGATCCTTTCACCTGTGATGCTGGGTATGGAAGTTTGATAATATATTATGTTTGGATATTCATGGAACCTTTATAGTAAAATGATTTCATCCTGAGAAGCAATGCAAAGCAATATTCTTATGAAGTAAGCACCTTTTTATTTAAATTAGTCATTAAGCAATACTGGCTGTGCCCGAGTTTCACGATTCCCTTTTTGGTTTGGAAAATGCTGGCATTCATGGTGCACTGAAATTCTCCCAGGGAGAGGATATTGGAGTACCAGTGCCAGAGCGAGAGAGAGACTTCATGGTATCAGGGAGATTCGTACAAATCCTTTCCATCGGGGCACGCCAGCCTTTCGGCATCCACAGCCACCTTCATGATTGTAAGTCAAGTGTGCAGTTCTGATTTAGAACTGAACACTTCCTCCAATGTTGTATTATTTCCCTTTAGGTATGCACATCTTGTGTCACCCCACCAGCATTGGATTATAGTAGAACACTATTTGAGTTCAGCATTGTTTTTGTAGAGATGCAACGATATATTTTTGTTAATCGTTATCAGCCAGTATTGGGTGAAACCGATATATCTTCCTGTTATTATATATGACCTTCCAATAACCGATAACAAAACTATGCCTGACATAATCTAAACGATAAGCATGTTTATAGAGCATGGATAGTCTCTCACTTTTTTCAAATGTGTCGAAGGTTGAAAATGCCTAAATGACCTGTCTTCATCAAACAAGAAGGTATTTTGCTATGCAGAATGTTAGCATTTTTTCCCTATTGGACTGGCAATGGGAGGTGCTTGAGGGCTCTTGGTCCATAACTGTACCCTGACTCATGAATACCAGTAACATCCCCCCTCCCCCCACAACATAAGTAAAATTTGAGCCAAATGGTTTAATCTGGGGATGAGCCACCTGGGTTCGACCTTTGCTGCTGGGGTTCTTCAATGTCCTCTTCGAGAGACAGGAGCATTCCAGGCTAAGAGGTCTCCCAAGCTCAGAAATGTACAGCTGATGCAGCTAGGTTTGAACCCAGGTCCCTTGCCTTGAGAGCCAAACTCCTTACCCACTGAGTCACTCACCCAAGGGAGATGGGAAAGCATCTATCATCCCTATTTTATAGTAACTCACTCAGCCTAATGCCACCACCATATCCTAATCCGTGCTTTTTGCAATCATAAACATTGCTAGAATTCACGCAAAGAACCTATGCCTAGGTGGATCCCATAACTTAGATATACAAATTGCTGGACAATGGATTGATGTCCATCCTTTCATCCCCATAGGTTCCAATTGAAACAACCAATTTCCAAAAATTGTGTCATATATAATATTAATTTTAAGGCTGTAGTGCAGAGTGCATTTGACCAATGGACTGATGGACACCTTTTTTGTAGGTATTTGGTTTTGTAGACTCCGGAACAGGTGGTAGTCTGACGGAGCAATGTCCAGTGAATAAGGTGGATGGTTCATTATTTCCCATTCAAGGTTTTCCAGTTTCTGCAACGTGACCCTTGCCACATGCAAATGCGTGTTGTCTTGATGAAACAGAACTCTTTTCCTGTTGACCAAAGCTGGTTGTTTTTTCTCCAGTGCAGTCTTCAAATGGTCAATGTGCATGCAATAAAGTTCCTTAGTAATGGTTTGGTTGGGATTCAATAGTTCAAAGTGGATAATTCCATCCATATCCCACCAAACGTTCAATAAAACCTTCCATGGGTTTTGTACCACAATGTTAAACGTCACAGATAATGGGTCAGCCCCGAAGAAATGCCAACACTGTAGCTGAAACAAGGACTTCATCCCCAGAAGGTTTTCTTTAGCGTTTGGTGGGATATGGATGGAATTATCCACTTTGAACTATTGAATCCCAACCAAACCATTACTAAGGAACTTTATTGCATGCAAATTGACCATTTGATGACTGCACTGGAGGAAAAACAACCAGCTTTGGTCAATAGGAGAAGAGTTCTGTTTCATCAAGACAACACGCGTTTGCTTGTGGCAAGGGCTACATTGCAGAAACTGGAAAACTTTGAATGGGAAATAATGAACCATCCACCTTATTCACTGGACATCGCTCCGTCTGACTACCACCTGTTCCAGAGTCTACAAAACCAGTTGGATGGAATGTAGATGGCTACCATAGATGAAGTCAGAACTGTATTGGAGGAGTTTTTCTAGTCCAAGCCAAGGGTATTTTACAAGGAGGGTATAGAAAGTTTACCAGAAAGATGGAAAAAGGTTGTAGAGAATGAGGGAAAATATATTATTGATTAAAGGTTGTTGAAAAGTTGTTTTATTTTTAATTTACAAATATATTAAAAAAAACGCATTACTTATGGGATGACCCAATACATTCAAATGATGAATATGAATATAAATAATCTACTTAGACGTTATCTGATGATGTGTGGACAATCTGTCAGTCATGTTCCTCTGGGTTTCCAGAGGAGATAAGAAAGGGGGAACTTTGAAAAAGTAATTTTTTTTACTGATTGCTCCTTATGAAGAAATTCACTGTGGTTCCAACTTCTTGCAAGTTCTATAATGGAACATAATAATGAAAATGTCTAATGTAAATCTAATGTGATTTTTTCAGCTCCACATTGAAGAGCCTGGCTTCAGCATGGCTTCAACAAAACATATCTTCTTACCACTGGATATTAGGCACCTCTTTATTTCACCATCAGACTTTGTCCTAAATAAAACTTAGCAGTGGAGAGGTTAATGCATGAATGTGTAAATACAGATATCAGTATCGGGTTTTTCAACTATCTGTATGTTGGATATCATCCAAAATTCAATATTGTTGCATCTCTAGTTTTAAGCCTGGGATTTTATTTGCAATTTGGGGGAAGAAAATACTAGAAATTGCATGGCATGTTACAGCAGAGTTATGGAATTTCGTTAATAAAAAATTCTTCAATTATTATTTCAATTCGAAATAGGCCTACATGGCTTCTGGAATCAGTTGAAGTGGAAGTGGCCGAAACAGGAGATGATATGAAATTGAAATTAAGTCTGTAGTTTAATCTCGTTGCTTAGTGACATTGACTTAAATCAGTAGCCCCGAATCGGTGTGAAATTAATAAAGATCTATTGTTCTCTAGTACTACCTGAGGCAGAGATGTTGGGATTGGAGTTTCATTTCAGTCCCCCTCCAAGTCATCAGTATGCTCTGGGCTGTAGTCGTGGGAGCATCCCGAGTCATTGATCGGAGGCATCATTGGTGGGATGTCCTCGTTGGGGATGTGATAGGATTCTTCATCACCGCTGGCATTGTGAGTGTTCCTCTCCTATCTTGACTGCCTCTTCTATTGAAAATGCATGAATATATCATATATATATTCATGCATTTGCATTTCAAGCTAGTTTGCAACAGACTGACATCACAATCATCCAAATTTGCATGTCCCTTTGTGGGATTAAACTGAAGGGAGGAATTATTTACTATAAATTGCTTGATTTCTCATTTCAGATAGGTTTTCTTTTCTTGCTATCTTATGCAAGTGCAACAGAATTAAAATACCCAATGTTTGTTCAAATTAAGAAAATAAATTTCTTGAGAAGATGCAAAAGTGTGTTGGTGCTGGGATCAGACTGAACTATGGTCTTCCACTCAAGAAATTTGAGCATTATTTGTTCAGTCATCATGTAACTCATGCAGGTTTGATTGTTTTCGCAAATACCAAAAATACTTTTGGGGCATAGTTATGTTTTCCTTGTTAATCAAGGTAACAAACACCAGCTGAGAGAGGGAAGTGATTCACATAGCAAGAATGATCATACAGATTTTAGAAGAATACCTTTGGGTTGCTCGAGCTAAATGGTGTTAAAATAGGATACATTCCAAACCCTACTTGCATGCATGAGAAACAGTTGTATGAGCAAAGGAAGGCAAAAGAAAATGATATTCTGGAATTCAATCCCAAATAGTCATTTTATTTGTGAATTCAAACTTCCAAGTTTGACTGGTTGGGTGAAAATTCTGACATTTTTGTTTGGATGCACCGACCTTTTTATCACGCCCTTTATTCATGCAGATTGTAATAATCGCCTTTTTCATTGCAGCTAATCATCTACCACAGCCAAGTGAGGCAAAGAAAGGAGCAACGCCTGCAGCAGCAGGAGTTGCTGGTTGGGAATGAAAAGGATAAAGCACATTAATGCCCTTCAGTTCTAGTCACCCATCTGTCCATTGACCAAAATGTTGGAAGCAAGCAGGTGCTCTGGAAGTACTTTCATCGTTAACTCTGTGAGACCAAGTTGTGATTCCAAAGCTTTGTAGTTTTTCGATCCTAGTTTTGTATGAGTATACCCTTGAAATCATTCCTGTTTTTTGCCATGATTGTTTTACCTTGAGAGTCATTACGCTTGTAATGACTCTCGAGTGGTGATTGTGAGAAGTAGTAGCTCATCGGGGAAAGCAGCATAGAAAGAACTGATCCAGTATTATCAACTCTATTTTGTTCAAATTGTAAACCCATTTATATGTTATAGTCTTCTCTTGTGTGTTTCAAGATATAAGAATTTAATTCTCTCGAGATATTGCCACAGCCGGCAGAAGTGGTCGTTTTCCTCTCTAGTAGCAATTGCAGCAATTTGTTGGTGCAATAATAACCACATACATGAGTACAATTTGTTATCTCCGGGGAGAGCCTGGAGGGGAAGGCGTGCTACCATTCTGTTGAATTAATTTGCATTCCTGTGTGGGGGGAAGGGCACTCTGACACATGGGGCAGGGTGGGAATCAATTTCTCAAACTTTATTTTCTGTGTCACAGTGCAGAGTTCTTATAGGGCCAGGGAGAACTATGGTCCAAAATCAGGAAATTTGTTCCAATTGCCTGAAAGTCAAAGGAGCTTGCAAAGTGTGTTTCAGATGGGGGGGGGGGGGGGGAAATTGATGCTCAATGTCTAGTAGGAAGCCTGCCTCACAAAGACAGGATCTTGACCGATTGCTTTTTGTGCTCTCTGCGTTTTCTTTATCCAATCTAATTGTTTTTGTTGTTACTCATGAAGTTACAGGTGAATGTATTTATTTGCCACATTGTAAATCCCCATGTCAGGGATCACTGCCTACCCTGCCTTTCTTGAGCCATGTACTCAATGTGAGCTTCATCAAACATGAATAGTCTATATAAAAATTGGTTTATTATTGACTATGTCTTGATGACTCTCCTATTCATTGAAGAAGCATCTAGATGCAAAGATTACCTGACACACGTGGCGTTGGTTATGTTGCTGTGAAATCCCTTAAGAAGGGTGAATCTCTATTTGCTTTTGTAGGGTATCATTTCCCCCCAAATTACAGTAAAAATTGAAACTTGTCAAATTTCCCCATATTCAATTTTTAAATGTTTGGTAGACATTCAACAAATCCAGCATTGAGCAATGAAATCCCCACCCAGCATTGCAATCCATTAGATGTCTCTTTAAGATGCACTTCCACAAGATGCTTGCAATAGCCCAAGGTGCCCCTGGATGGGGTTTTCACTCCTGCACACCCTAATCAGTGGGGTAGTGGCTTTTCAGTTTTCACAATGAAACGTTCAAAGTTTTGCCTCAACGTGAATATTGTTCTTAAGTTTGGTTACATTCTAAAAAAAATTCACATTTAATCACGAGTAAAATTTTGCGTTTCAGCTCCATAAGTTCAAGTGCAAATTGACTAAATTTAAATTCAAGTGGTGTTATCAGCACGAGGAGGAAATTGGGGCTCCTAAAGAAAGCCGATGGCAGAAGAATAAGAATTACGGCTGTACCGATGGAATTTAAAGATGCACAGATGTCATTTTCGGAGGCATAGAAGGCAGAATTGCCCTCGCCAAGGCGGCCCCCCCCCCCCCCTTCCTTGGTGCATCGATGCAGTGTCGATTGTTCTGGTAGATACCTCGAAGTTTTCGAAACTGCCATCATGGTAGCCCTAAGGAAAGGAACGTGACTTCCTTGTATGTCTATTTGAAGACACGTTTGATATACGTGTTTTGATACTACGCTATTTCCCTACGTGTCTCAATCGGCGCCAGCTGATAGGTATGAGGCCATAATTGGCCATGGTACGGCCATAGTAAAAATGATTCGACTTGTTCTCGTTATGTCACAGCCAGTTCCAAATATGCAAAACCTTTTGTGTCGTTTCTCCGCTTGACGAATGTGCAGCAAAGAGCTCTCACATTTTCCAACGTAGGTTTAATGCAGTCGCTCATAGCTTTTTTTCCCCATGAAGTCATTCAGACCACATCAACTTCGAGTCATTATGGACCATTTTATCCGAAGTATCGTGTACCAATATTAAACGTGAATCGGTTTCCTTTTCGCACGCCTATATTCACGAGATTGACGAGCGGGTCCTAAGATTGGGTCAGTCCTTGGCAAAGGACAAATTTCAGGAAATGTGATCATCCCATTCGCTTTATATTATATGCCCCCCCCCCCCCCCGGTCTTTGTCCACGTCCGCAGGCTTGGATTGCCACATATTAGTTTTTCCAGGGAATTCTTCCAGTTTTGCGGAATTTTCTCTTTCTCCACCCTTTTCTTGCCAAGATAAGGATCCCAAAAGAGTCTAATGTCTTTTTGGCCGTGGGTTTGTGGTTCTTTGCTCTCATGAGCAACAGAATGTGAGTGGATTCCCTGAGCCACAGAATGCGAGTGGATTCCCTGAGCAACAGAATGCGAGTGAATTCCGTGAGCAACAGAATGTGAGTGAATTCCCTGAGCAACAGAATGTGAGTGGATTCCCTGAGCAACAGAATGCGAGTGGATTCCCTGAGCACCTACATCCCAGTGAGGATGTAGCTGCTGGGAGACCTGAATATTTATCATGTCATTTGGGAAGGGGCGAATTCTTCCGCGAACATTGGACTTAGGTGAGCGTGGTGATCGCTCCGGAAAAATTCCTCTGATTTACCTAGTAAAAATATGCCAAGTACAGGAGATTGAGGGTTCTATAAAACCGCCAATGGGTGGGCCAGAAAAGACTGACACAAAATTAATGCATGTAAGAAATTCATGTTTGCTAAAAAAAAAAAAAAGAAAAAATTTTAGCGCCAGGTTTGATTGTCATCATGAAACGATCGAATGCGAATCGGCCGAGAAATCGAGAGTTTTATTTTTAAATCCGGTTCCGAAGCGAAGACTTCTTGCCCCCGACGATTCGGAAGTGCGCAAGATTTCGCGAGTCCACCTATTTTTAACCGCTTTTTCACCTAATATTCACCCAGTGTCAATTGTTCCACCTCAAAACCGTTTTTCGTGTCGCAATGCGAATTGGTTCCTTTGTCATTAGACTAAGCTTATCTCAGGATCTGTGACCTTTCGACCACTTAGCTCGTAATAGGCAATTGCAAAAAATTCATTCAGAATTCCGGGACCAATCAAGACCGTCAAGTCATCTGATACAGTTTAGAAATAAATTTTGCTGTGTTAATGCTGCACCAATCACATGAGGTGAGAATTGCATCGGGGTATTCTTCAAAGAGGAGGTGGGCCTGGGGTAAGAGATACCCTGCAGGTGACAAAAGGTAAATTACGGGTGGAAAGTAAATATAAAGTGCCGGTAAGTGACAGGTGAAAAACCGGTATTTTTACCTTTGTTTCACCCAGGGCTTCGGAACTGAATATTTTCTCGTTTCCGTTCCGTTCCACCTGATATCCGAGTGTTCCGGTTTCTGTTCCGTTCCACAATTATTCATTTTGTTCCGTTCCGTTCCATTGCGTTCCGTTCCATTGCGTTCCGTTCCATTACATCGGGAAAAACCTTCAAAATTAAATTTTTAAAAAGTAGGACTGTCAATTCAATTTGATTAATCAACCGATTAATTGATTGAAGCGTTAATCGCGAAAACCGAAATTAGTCTAAATTAATCTAAAATTAATCTCCTCTTTTTCCCGAAAAAATTCAACTGTGCAGTTCACCGTTTTGCAAAGCAACCGAAAACGAATGCTTTATCATAATATTATCATAAAGATAAATGTAAAAGAAGGTTGTCATTTTCGCTTTCTCTTCCTCCGAAATGAAATACGTTAAAACGAAGTAAGCTGGGAACATTCAAAAACAAAAGCCATCGCCTGCAGACAATTTCAGGTTAGGCTGAAATAGCAGATGAAGAGGACAAACCGATCGAAAAGTCACTGAACGCGAATGGACAAAAAGAAAATGAAGAATCCGCTAGGGAATACGGAAGGAATCCGGAATTCGGTCAGGGAGAGGAGAGCCAGGCAAGAGCACGCTGCGAAGACGGGATCGAGAGTACCCAAAAAATACTCCTAACCGGGGGGGGGGGAGCCGGAAGCAGGTGAGAAAACGAAAGGATGAAACCCTCTTCTATTTTTTTTGCTTTTTCCGTTCTTCCATCCTTTGTTGCCCGCGAATCGATAATGAATCTCTAAATCTCCTCGTAACGGAGAGTCACTGTATTCTTCGAAACATGCAGATTACTTTTTTACGTCCTTCTGGGTTGGGTTGGGTTCTTCGCTTCGATTCCATCATTCATCTGGCCAAGTAGCCATCATTCTCTCTCCGATCGGAACGTGTCACATTGAACTAGTGTGTGCGTGGATAGTAACTGCTGTTAGCGACTGCATCAAGGGATCGAGCAAAATTCGATTAATCGATTACATTTTTTGATCGATCGACAGCCCCCGCCCCGCCCCGCCCCGCCCCGCCCCGCCCCGCCCCGCCCCGCCCCAAAAAAAAGCACAGCACAAAACCGTCGGTTTCAGGAGTAAGCAATTTCGTTCCGTTCCAGTTTTTCGTTCCTCTGCTGCCAGTGAATGTTCCGTTCCGTTCCGGTTTTCCTTCCGTTCCGAAGCCCTGGTTTCGCCATTTCAATTTTTACCTCAGGTAAAAAATGTTTGCAAAGTGCCCTGGGATGACCGCGTCGCTCCACGGGAAAACTGGCTGAAATCTGGCTCAACCCCGTCCGAAAATGCCGCTGAAAGATTTCGGCATGGTTCCAGATGAAAATGGTCCAAAAAATGAAGGAAATAATTGTGGATTGAGTGAGGTGAGATGTTTTGGTTCGCGCTTTTAAGATCTCCCACACTTTTACTTCACGATAGTATATTGGATACCAGCATCAACAATAATAAACCGATTTCATACGCAATTAACTTGTATTAGTCTTCTCCGTCCCACTCCCTAATTTCCCATGGGAAATTGCAATGTGCGTGGCCACAGCTGCAAGTCCAGCGGACCTCTTTTGTTGTTCTGAGCGCTTTCCTTTCGCCATTTATTCTCTGCCCTTCTTGCGGCTGTTTCTGGATCCTATCCGTTTTTAGTTCCTTCTCCGCCTCTTTCGCGTGCGTGTTCGGCCGGCCTGGGCACAGCGTTCTCGAGGCTCTTCATCATTCGCAGAAATCCATTCATTTGGTCCATCACCTTCTCCTTCCCCTTCCCCTTCTCCTTCCCCTTCTCCTTCCCCTTCTCCTTCCCCTTCTCCTTCCCCTTCTCCTTCTCCTTCCCCTTTCTCCACGCCACGGGCTCGCCTGGTCCGGTGGTGACCGCTTAAATCGCCGAATTCAATTCGCCTGCTACAACTCGCCGAAGCCAATTCGTCGACTCGTAGTTCACCGATTGCTCAATTCGTATACTTACCACCTTGAATTATATATTTTACAGCCAGACCTGTGAATTCGGCCACCCATTTGCGGCCAGAAGTGCTCCCGTCCCAATCGTTAGCTCCATAGGCTCAATGTTATAGGGTGACATGCACCGAATACTTTTAAGCTAAGCTAA